CCGAGCAATAATTTTTTATTGATTCGCGTTGAGTTTGTTTGTTCAAAAAAGACCGGGCTGCCAAATGGGTCAAAATTAATTTTACACAAAATAAACTATTATACGTTGGAACCAAATTTGTTTCAGAATTTTTCAAATGATTTGCGTTTAGCTTCGTTGTGAAAAATTGAAGTAAACTGCTGGCGACCTTTGGTTTGGACTTTTTTTTCAATTATTTCGTATTTTGATTTACTGTTTTGATTTTGGGAACTTTTGGGGGCACATTGTTTTCAGATGTTGGTTATTTATTTAAAAAATAATTTCTGTTATAATTTATAGTTTACTATTTACATTTTGATAAGAAAATGCTTTTCGCCCGTTATTATTCGTTTTTGGTAAAATTATGTTTTGTGACATGCAACTTGTAATTTTTTAATTACAATTTTTAATAATTTGTTTCTCAAATGGTTTTGGTGCTTTTTTTGTTTTATCATTTAGATTTTTGAATAAGAAGATTCTGTTTGCTCGTAATGGTTTATTTTTGTTAAAATTAATTTTAGTCCTTTTGGCCGCCCATACAGAAGCCTTAATTTCACAATGAACCAATCCTTATAAATTATTACATTTGCCCGAGGACCCGTTCTGTTTTATTCGTCCTTATGTGCACCGTAGCACGAAAGTGCAAATGTAGAATCGTATACTTTAGTATTTTACCACGGAGACAATCCTGCCCGGTTCATCTAGGTGGAAGGTCGAAAGGAAAATTTAAGGAACCGACTCATCCAACAGGACTAAATCCCTGTTGCGTCATTTTGCTTTAAAAGTCACTGGTGTACGTGCAGCAAGCGTATGTCGGGGCTGTTTCAGGAGGCTTCTTTCCTAAATATAATAGGCTCAGACGAACTTCGACGGTTTCTCTTTTTTTCTCTGCTTGCCGCGCTCTGCAACATCCGTGGAGGTTCTCCATCCAAATTGGTAAGATCACAAATGTCAAGCTGCATAAAAGCTCCTGAGAAAATTCCCTTGTTATTCTTTAAATCGTTGTTTATTTCTGACAATGGTCATTAAAAAGAAATCAAAAGTCAATGCTAAATCACCCAAGAAAAAAAGCCACACTCTTCATGCAGCTGCTCTTTCGTCTCGCTGTTTATTTTGTAAACCTCACCAAATCTGGGGAAAAGATTGACCTAATGGGGAAGCAAACGTATAGAGCAGGGTCTATTTACAGGTGGATTGCATCGAATAATGTTGTTCATCAAATCGTTATGAACTGGCTCTTTATAGTAATATGGATTTGGATAAAAAACCATCGAGTCAACTGGAAACTGCTACATTGTATCTCGTTTACAATGAATTTCGCACCTGGAGTGTAGTGATTAATTCCCAGGGGCAAGGGTAAATGCAGTGATAATGTGAATGTATGCTATGTTTATTAGGTTTATTGGGCTTTATTTCTGGTTTCTAACGAGATGGTTGTTAACCAAACTGATCCGGTAGAAAAAACACACGTGAACCGAAACCGATCCCACCCGATCTGGCCAGAATAATGGGAAGACCGATCCGATCTGACACATAGTCTGTTTCGGAAACATATCTCGAAATGTTCGTCCTTGATAAAGCAAAGGCTGGGGACTTGAAATCCACCGCAGGCTTGTAAAGAAGCCACTATTTTTCAGTTCAGCATTGATTTTACAACATTTTGGCCAGGTCGTAGGCCTACAAACTTCTCTCCAGAATTCAGTGAAATTTCAAAGAGAGGAAGTAAAAAAAAAGTTGGTTCAAAATTCAATAATTTCTCAATATTTCTGTCGGTGACCTTCAGTTCCACAAAGTTTCACCAGTAGATTGGGTTTGCTTACAGGGATCTCGCATGACTAAAATATATAGTGGGTAAAAAGGAGGATTTTTTGTTTGTTCCTAAAAACCCAAAGGTGTTATAGAAGACATAAGTGTAGTTTGTTGTTACTGTAATGGAGGGGGGGTCCTGTTTGTATCTACATAGGAAGGAGTGTATCAGACTTAAACATGATGTCTATGTAGTTGCAATTGCTGTTGCTAGAAGGAAGTTTATTTGTTGAAGTGTGACTAACACCTCCCAATCACGGTCTCGAGAATCCACATACAAAGAAATCGTTCAGAAGCAAGTCATCAAAACTAAAGCAAGGATTCCTGGAGTTTGGTGCTCTCCAGGAGGTTGTCTCTGTATTTCATTTTCAAAACATTTTCCTCCTTTGAGGGTCTCTGTCTTTCATAAATCCATGTTTCTTTCCAAAGAACACCTTATGCAATATCCATACGATTGGTTTTCGTACTAACGTTTAGTATTGGCTTTTTTTCAGAAGCCTCCTATCTTGCCTTGTAAGCGAGGCGATCCGATCTTGGTAAAATTTGATACTTGAGGGATGGTGGGAACACATTATAGATTACCAACCTTGCACTCCAACGGGTATTTACGGATAAAAAGTCATGCTACTTTTATTGTCCCAAATGTTTGTCATTTTCAGGCTACGCCTCTAATTGGAGCATCAAAGTTAGGCTCCTTCCTTTTCAGGCTCCTTGTTCAATGAATGAACTGAATTATCGTTATACCATACAGAGTAAGTGGACGAAACACGCCCAGCAAGATCTAGTCAAGAATTCATTACAGCCCGAAGCTGACATTTCAAGCACAAACAGCTAATTCAAGCTCCGTACCCACCAGTATCTCAGCCAAAACAGGTGTTCATTTTACTCCTAAGTGGCCAAAGGCAATTAATGAAACTGAATATCTACCACAATATGGGTACATATTTTACTCCCAGATGAATGAGAAGCAATTTTTAGTGACAGACTATCTTGCCTAAGACACACTAGCTGTCCAACCCCAACCGAAAGACAGGTTTAGTTCTAGTCTAGGTTCCTGTATTCTACTGGTGTCAACTACTCTTAAATAGTAAAGCCTGGGTCATATGGCCATAACGAACGCCGACGGCACACAGGACGTCAATATGCAGGCAGTCCCAGAGGAGATGCTGCGGGACGTCATTCTACCAAAAAATTGAACAAAATTTTGTTTGAAACTCAAACAATTCTTTGTTTGCCCTTTTAGCTTAGGTTTTCACTCTTAGAAGCTTTTTGATACCGCGTTTTGATGTATTTTGTTTGTGGTCAACTATTTTGTTTACAATTGGGCTGCATTACCTTAGTAATAAGGACAAAGTGGCTAAAATCAATAGTTTAAGAGATGCATCGTAATTGTACATGTGTTTAATCGTTCACGTTACCTTCATGAATTATTAGTGTTTGTCATTGTCAACTTCCAAAGAACTGTACTTTATAAATCTCCAGCAGGCGGATGAAGGATTTTTCAAAAGCAATTCAGAAACACAGAAACGAACGCGTTTCCAACGATTTGTTGAACGAACACCTATTTGGGACACTATATCTTAGGATTGGTTTTTGTCCTACGAACGCATGTTCACGCAATCAGGAACGGCCTTTAGTCTACGGGGTTTTAAAGATATAAAAGCCGTAATTGCATTGGATTTTTAAAACAAACTTCAAATTGCACCTTCGTGTCTTAGTTAATCTTCATTTTCAATTTTCGTTTTACTATTTCAAAGGATGTTTTGCTATGGTTTTGCTTTTATGATAGTATGTCCAATTCATAGCAAATGTATGACGGCATCCAAAAGAGACATCTTTATTGTTATATTGTTCTGTACACAAAAAAAATATGAAATAGATTTTTATTTTGCTAATTCATTATTGTGCACACCAATAAGCAAGCAGCAACCGTTAATCAGAAATGATTTAGTGAGTAAATTTGGAATTCACAAATTGAATACAGGACCTATGCACTGAATTAACCATGTCTTCCCACGATGATACGATGAATCACAGCTACTGAAAAACTTCAAATATCATACAATTTAATTCACATTTGAATGTATGCATTTAACCTAAAAAGGAAGTCAAACTTTTTTCATACAATGAAGGCGTGTACGAAATGGCAGACAAAATATTTTGGAACCGTTACTGCAGCTACATTTTACTGTATTAACATTCACTTGAATTTTCCATATCAGGCAATCTTATGGAATATTTAATAAAGGCATAAATGATATACCTTTCAGTGCGATGCTGTGACTCGATTATGGCATTCAACGATGTTTCGTAAGCTGACAACCATCTTTACACAAAACGATTCTTATCCTTATCCGTCTACCCGATGAGTAATCACCATGGGTCATCGATAATTGAGTTGTAGCCGATTGCTTATACGTTGCCTGTACCATCTTAAGTCGTCACCATTATATCGAAGTTTGGTAATAACTATGCATGCCCTTTTGTAAGCAATCATTACCATGCCATACTGTACACTGTGTATGTACCATAATCAGCGCAGTCCGAGTTTTTGGAGCATCATTTTCAATTCTAGATTCTCATGTTTTTGGCCTCGGGAATAATTTGTTTGCTGAAATAAAAAAGCTTATATGATTCAATGAGTGATTCCTATGTTGTGCTTTAAGTTTTAAAACTATGATTTTCCAAAAGGAGTAATTCGATCCTTTGATATCTGCACCTTGCATAGCCATCGATTAGGGATAGCGTACGAGCTTATTCATTCCCTGGCATCTCGCATTAGCACGTAAACTCCGTTTCTTTTCAAATGTCCTTATTCCACTTTGGTGATTTTTACCCAATCAACATAATTGCCTTAACTGTGAGACGAACAATCCGAGTTGTTTTTCTTCTCTGATTTCCATATATATTCTGCACAATGTAACATGCTTTTACACAATTTCGGGAATAGGCCGACTTGAGATTTCAGATTTTTGTGTGATCTTTTATCCTTCTTGCTGAAAAGAACGGCTTCAGGGACATGAATAATTTGAATACATGTCTAGATTTTCAGAAGCACAACACGCATCTCAGCCTCAGAAGAGCCTTGTGAATCGCATAGGACTAATTACTCAGCCATGATTATTTGATCTGGAAAACACGGAATGACAAACAATTTAAATGCTTGTTCCATTATAATAAAACTGAATTTCCAAAGATGATGTAAATTCTGTGGACTTGTGTATGTATAAAGCAATGACATAACTGGCTAAATTCAAAATACTGATGTGCATATAGTTTTCCTAATTAATGTTGTGTTACTGAAATCTCGACCAAAGTTATCAGTTCTTTCTTTTAAGGAATAATTCACCGTGAGTAACACTTTTAACTTGAAAACTCTACCAAATCCGGAAATTAAAGACTAAGCTATGTATGTCATATGACTTTAGTAAACAACTAATGTAATTCAGAAGTCTTACTCAATCTTAGTGTTCTAAAGCATGAACCTATATGGGTATTTATATCCACTTAAACTGGCTTCATGTCTTGCAAAATACACACAGTTCCATTACCTTCATGCAAATCTAACGTTAAACACTGTACTAAATTTCGTCCTTAAATCTCAAGAAATCCTTTAAATGAAGAGTCAAATGAATTCTTACTTCTTTGGCAAAACTACTCTCGTTAACTGTCTAACGTTGGTCTCGTAAAAACTGGTGAAAACTGTATTTTTGGACAAAACTCTTTCAAGAGAAACTTAAGAAAAGATGTCTGTCTGATGGCCTGGTTACAAAGCTCCAAACTATTGAGGAGGCTCTTCAGAGTTGTGGCCTGGCTCACTGGAACAATGTCCCTTTCCTTTAACGTTTATGGTCCAAAGATGCAGACAGGGTCGGTGGCATTACAAACGAAGATTATTGTCCTTAAGTTTAAGCCAAAACTGGGTTTGGTGGCAAAAATGAGAACCATGAGAATAAAAGGGGGTGCCCTTTGACAAGAAGTAGGGACAACAGGTCCATGGACTTGGGTCAGATTTGGGGGTGAAAATTTCTTCCTCCTATCACGCTGCATTGAATGTAACTGATGATGTAAATGGCAAAGCAGAAAGTGCGGAGAGAAACATCGTTATTCTGAGGAGGTTGGCCCAGACTTTCTCGTGAAAACTAACTGGGTTTGTTGAAAGGCTGATATTGCTGCAGTTTCCATCAACTATGTATTTTTTAATTGCATCGTTTGGTGCTTAAATCTTTCAGAGGCTTAGCTGACGTGATGGTTGTGGAACTTACGAAGATGTTATTTGCACTGGGAGTGATTATCATCGCTGCTGGTAAGTACGCCTTTGATCACACGTATTAATTTTGTGAAAATCGAACAGGTTGACGTCTTCTATTCCAAGCGTACTCTCACGTGCTGCGTACATGGATTTAAAAATACTCCTCATGGCTGTAAGTGGCGTTTACCATTCCTGTTATGTACCCAGAACTACAAACTCGTGATACCGATGGAGCTAACAATATGGTTTTGTTTTGTTTCATTCTGAAAAAAAATCTGGGTAGAGGAAATTGGCGCCACCATGCTTTACTATTGCTGGTATAGGATTCCGCAAAAATAGTAAAGAGAAGCTGTTGGGGAGAACATTTAATGTTGATGACCATTGTGTGTGTGCGAATGTGTATTTTGCTACGTGATGCACTGTTGTAACGTTAAATCACTTAGTCTTTACACAGCAACATTCCGTGCAATAAGGTTAATGACTATGTTATCACCTTAATATGAACAGCTACAAACAAGATCTGTGAAATGGCCGAATGGTTAAGCTCGCGGTCATCAGATCGTTAGAGAGTGGGTTCGAATCCCCCTTGTGGCTTTTTATTTTCCCAACGCTTGCTGTCAGTCAGTAGCTATAAGAGACTCTAATTCACGCCGTCAAATACCAACAGTACCTAAGCCTACCGGGTAAGCTCTTCTGCTGGGACTGTCCGCGAAGTCCAGGTGAGCGCCTTAGTACAGGTTCGAGACGTATGGCCGAGTCGGCGGCCAGGGCTTGGGGGCCTGTCTCGTTCCTCCCTTGCATGGTCGCTCGAACACTTTTGGGGTTAAATGGATGGGCAGGGAAGGCAGTGCGGTGGGCCGGGAACCCGAGACCCAGGAGAGTCCTATATGGAAGCCGGTAACTGCGATTCCTTGCGAATTTCAGGAGTCCGTGCGCCTGAATGCTTGGTCAACACCGCATAACTTTTGGATTTTTTCCCTCAGAGTCACCACTTTCTTTATTTCCCTGGGCGCAGAACAAACAAGGCAATTTTTTAGGTTTGAACGCAATTAGTTAAAGGATTGATGCTGATTTATTTTCACTGGTACTTTTAATTTCCTAAATTTTCGACAATAAAACTGATCCCAACCGGGTCGGATCCATTTCTTCTCAGTGATCTCAGTATAAAAGCTGTGAGGTGTGTAGTGAATGTTTATGTATCAACAGTGACAGATCCAGGGATGTCACCAGTCGGGCGGCACTCGTCTCCCTTTTTTATTGATAGAAATACATTTTCATTTGTTATAACAACAAATTTAGTTTACTTGCAACTACAGAATAATTAGATATTTTCAAAGAGAAATTCTTACAAAAGATACATCCCATATCTTCGTAGGTCACCCCAACGCTACAACAAATGTGTTGCAACTGCCGTTTTGCACAGTTATGGGCAGAAATGACATGGTATATCTTCAACGACGCACTCCTGCAAAACAGTTGGACAAAATGGATAATTATCTTGCTTTTCTGGTACAATTGGCCCGAAATATACACGCGCCATACGGCACAATGTTGTGTCAATGCGCGCGGTCCGCGCTCCGGCCAGACATGACAACACTGACCGGGGGAATGGAGATGGGGGCTGGAAAGCGTATGGCTATTGCAACAATGTTGTCTAGGATGGTAGGTAGGGCCTCAAAATGTAATCCGCATGTAGACCGAGTCGGGAATTGAAACCATACCGCAGAGACAACAGGCAAGGGAAACACCAATACGCCAAAATAAGTATAGACAACAAACTAATAATTTCCCTGATCAAAGCTTTAAACAAGGCACGCATTATGTATTACTCAAATACTCATCTATTGTAGTTTATTATGTTTGCTTCTGTTAAGTATTTAATTCCACTTCTTACTAATTTATCTTTTCCTGAAAACAACTCTGCTTTTCTAGCTGATCAATCCGAAGAGATCTCTACATAACTGTGCCTTCTTTATAAAATAGACGTGGTTACTGAAGGAAAGCTAAAGGAAAGGAAAAAATTTTTGCTAAGAGTAATAAGAATTGATTAACTTTTTTGATCGGAGTATTTGCAAATGTTCAAACACAAAGGCACATGTCGGCGTTGCATTCACTGAGAAGTGATTTTCAAGGTCACTTGATAATGATAGCTTTATAACTTTGACCAAATCATCACTGACACCTGAACTAACACTTGATGACATTTGAAAAATTTCACACTGTGTGTTGAAAAGCGTATATTAACTTTGGCTCTCACGAATTGCATCCGAGCGGTGTGTTTGCGCACTCGACCTTTCTTTTTCGTTCACGACGTCAGACCTCTCTTAAATCCTCGTGTTGAAAGGTTTTTATTTAGTCTTTTACCAAGACGACCCATGTTTATCAGTTTGGTTATACTGGTTTGAATCACAGAAAAGCAAGATGGCTGCCCTGTGATAAAAGTCTGTACCCAACAAGGATAACAGAGGGAACATTGGTATCAACTCCTTTGAAGTGTTTTTTTTTTCTCCGCAAGGCACTACCTTGCACGTCCACACCCATAGATCAAATTAAACCTTTCATTTTACAAAACTGAAGCATTGTAATCAACTTTTGCAGTTAATCTACAAAAATGTTCATATTTAAACAGTGACCGACTGAAGAGCAGATTTTGGACCATTATTTTCGGGGGAACTTTTACGGACGGGGAGCCTACAAAAATTGGAATTCCTTAATTTTTCCTTGTAATTTTTAAGGCCTTTCCTTACATGAGTTTTTTTATTGAGGGTTGGATTTATACGTTCATTATAGGAAGAATGAAAATAATTACCTTCTGGCTTTGCATTTCAAACAAACGGGGGGAGAGGCATACCCCCACGACTCTCCATGGATTCAGCCAGTTGAAGTAAATTTTTTAAATGCAATTTCTCAGAGGGCTCGTTGCGCGCTACAGATCCATTCCTGCATAAATGCCAACAATGTATTTTCATTTTTTTTTGGCCCATGGCTTTAATGTCATGAAGCAGCTAAGTTAGTTATGAAATTATAATTGATTGCTGACAATCTGAGAGAGAGAAAGAAAGACGATATTTAATGGCTTTGTTCCTTTGTGTGCATATCTGGCGTTACTGAATTGAAAATGACAGCCGATCATTTCGCACGTACCATAAAATCATAAAATATAAAGAAACACTCAATTTACTTTTTCGACAGAAAACCCCCAGCAATGGCACAGGCAAACACATTGGTATGGTTGAAAGTTTTATGCTGTGAAAGGGTGACAAAGGATGTGTACAAAATTGAAAGTCACTGCCTTTTTCAAATTGTGAGCTTTTGGAAATGTCGGGTTTGTTTTCAAGTTTAATACACGTCATGAATAAAGGAAAGTGAAAGGATGCTTTGTTGCCATTTCTTATAAATGAGTAACATATTATGTGGAATAGTGCATGTAATATTCTGATTTCTGCCATTGAATGTAGTGGGATTTCAGTTCATTTTCATCAGATGAAATTTTTGCTTTCCTTACTTATTTTCTTTCTTCACTGAGTGTTTTGCCATTTTTGACTTGCAAGTCGTATATTTATAAATAGCTTTACTGTACACCCATCGAAGACCTGGGTCTTGTGGAAAAAATCACTAGCTTAGCTTTTCCATCAGAAAAACTTAGCGTGTTTTTATACCAACTAATTGACAAAGTAGATTGCTCAGTCCAACAGATAAACATTATCGAGAAGTTTTTTAAACGTAGCCATGAATCAGTAACGTTCTACTCATGCTCAAGGAGGTGCTTCGTTGTTGGCATTATTGACGTTGCTGTCATTGTTGTCTGTTGTTTGTTGTTAATGTATCGCGACATGAACCTACATTATAGCTGTACTTATATCGTTCCCTACAAAAGCTATGGTCTTAATTGTGCTGCAAGTTGCTCTGGGAAATTTAATGTATGCATGCAGCTGTGTGATTAAGAAACAGTTCTCCATATACCCGCTGATGCCGGCTCCGTTCTAAGACCAAATTTAGTTCACGTTAATTTAGCAAAGCACACAAGACTGTCGTAAATTATGGATCTTCAATTAAAAATACAAACAGACCGGACTCACAACCGAGGGGAATCCAAGGTGGGGCGGATTCCGCCCCCCCCCTTCCCACTCGTTTCTTTTAGGTTTTAATGGCATGAGTCCGATGAAGTTTTGTTCCTCTTCTAAACACTAAAAATAATATAGTCATTACAAATTTTCTTTAAAACGTATGTTTGGGTGGGTTATNTTAGTCTCAGTTTGGTTATATTGTTTTAATCGCAGAAAAGCAAGATGGCTGCCCGGTGATAAAAGTCTGTCCCAACAAGGATAACAGAGGGAACATTGGTATCAACTCCTTTGAAGTGTTTTTTTTCGCCGCAAGGCACTACCTTGCACGTCCACACCCATAGATTCAAATTAAACCTTTCATTTTACAAAATTGAAGCATTGTAATCAACTCTTGCAGTTAATCTACCGAAATGTTCTTATTTAAACAGTGACAGAGCAGATTTTGGACCATTATTTTCGGGGGAACTTTTACAGACGCGGAGTCTACAAAAATTGGAATTCCTTATGTAATTGTTAAGGCGTTTCCTTACAGGGGTTTGTTTTATTGAGGGTTTAGATTTACACTTTCTGTATAGGAAAAATGAAATAATTGCCTTCTCACTTTGCATTTCAAACCTACCCCCATGACTCTCTATGGATGCAATTTCTCAGAGGGTTCGTTGTGCGCTGCAGATCCATTCCTGCATAAAAATGCCAGCAACATATTTTCATTCTTTATTTGCTCATGGCTTTGCTGCCATGAAGAAGCTAAGTTAATTATGAAATCATCAATGACAATGTAGACAATGTAAAAAAGAAAGAAAGATATTTAATGGGTTTGTTCCTTTGTGTGCATATCTGGCGTTAATGAGTTATAAATGACAGCCCATCATTTAGCACGTACCATAAAATATAACGAAACACTCAATTTACTTTTTGTCAGAAAAACCCCCACCTATGACACAAACAAACACATTGGTATGGTTGAAAGTTTTATGCTGTGAAAGGGTGACAAAGGATGCGCGCAAAATTGAAAGTCACTACCTTTTCAAATTGCGATTCAGTAACGTTCTACCCATGCTCGAGGAGATGCTTCTTCTTGTTGGCATTAAATACGTTGATGTCGTTGTTTTGGTCGTCGTTGTCGTCGTTGTTGTTATCGATGTTGTCTGTTGTTTGTTGTTAATTTTTCGCGACATGAACCTACATTAAAGCTGTACTTATAATAATTACCGAAAATGGCTCACTTGGAAGACATTCCCATGAGAACGTGCACAAATTTTACTGTCCCATAATTAAATATTCCCTAATCTCATCTGAACCAAAATTTGTATGTTTTCAATTTAGACTCTAATCTAAATTCGGCCTCCTTCTGGTAGCCGGGGCATTAGGGAGACATTGAAATTTCTCCCTAATAACCGATGTCTCCATAAAGTCGAAAAATTTACCACAAAATATCTCCCTAATGACCCATTTGTAAGAATATCGTTCCATATAGAAGCTATAGTCTTAATTGTGCTGCAAGTCGCGCTAGGAAATTTAATGTATGTATGCTGCTGTGTGAAACAGTTCTCCATTTAGTCTAGCCGTTTGCTGATGTTGGAAGGCCAAATTTAGTTCACGGTAATTTAGAGCCCGGCATAAACGGCAGAGCGCACGAGGCTGTTGTAAATTATGGATCTTTTTAAATGTAAAAAGACCGGTCTTTTTTATACAATCTCATAACCAAGGGGAATCTAAGGTGGGGCGGATTCCGCCCTCCCCCTTCGTTTCTTCGTTTTAATGGCATGAGTCCGATGAAGTTTCGTTCCTCTTCTCCATAAACACTACAAATAACATGGTCATGACAAATTTTCTTTAAAATGTATGTTTGGGTGGGTTACACCTGTTTGTTCCCTTTTTTTAAACGTAGCAACAACCTCAGTTTCTGCAAAAGTCTGTGTTCTCGGTACGGAGCCCGACCCTGGTGACGGCGGCAGGGTCAAATTCGTCATTCCGCCGGGGGATCCGTGTACCTGCGCCGAGGTCAGACTGGGTGGTCACAATGCCTACGCTCCGCCGAGACCGCGAGGAACGGTCTATGTCGGCATAGGTGACCTGCAAAAGATCTCTGCAGACGGACTGCGTGAGCATTTCCCTTGCACTACGAACAAACCGGAGAGAACTTCGACTTCAAATCCGCGGGGTGAGGTCTGTAGACGAATACTTAAGAATTCAGGGGCATGTCCTTTGAGGTGAAATGTCGTTGAGGGAGCAAAACTTACTGAGAGCGCTCACATAAATCCTCCCACTGTTGTGAATGATGAAGCACCGGTAAGCACATCGTCTCTTAGGAATGCTCCCGCGTAACGTAATGGCAGGATCCAATCACATTCTAGAGAAAAGCTCACTGTGCTAAATATTTCGGAATTGTTTAGGAAATGTATTGCTTTTATAACCCTTCATTATCTCCGTCGTCTGAGGCCAACTCTTGCAATTTTTATATAAGAGCCAGTTTCCTCGCATCAGAAAGAGTGATTTTTATCCTCTCACATATCACTCGCTCAAGAAATATTTCGGGAACATTTCATAACATTTTCCAGATGCAAGGTGTCATTTCCAAGTGAAAAAGCATTCAAAATTTTCCTCACTAATTCAAATTGCGGTCAGTGATTGAGCAGTTTTCCTTTTCAAACTACATCTGGCAGCAAGATGTCAGCCTCTTGGCTAAAATTGGCTTATATCTCAAAAAGCCTTTAGGCCGATATTTTGCCCCGGCTTCATTGCGAGCCTGAACTCGTTTACTTATACGAAAGACTGATTTTATGAATTTTGTCAACAAAGCTCAGAGAGCATAGGCACAGAGAGCACTTCTCTATTTACCTTTTCCTTCACAGAATCGACGCCTAAAGTGACCACAGGTGAAAAAGGATTGACAACTAAAGTCACCACCCGTGCGCAGGGGTCGACTTCTGAAGTCGCTACCATAATCACAGAAGCAGATTCGACACATGTCGTATCGACACTCCACGAGACAACAATGGCGCCAGAGCTGACGGAGCCTGCGGCAAATTGTCAGGAGATCTTGGATGCTGGTATAAGCACTAGCGGTGTATACACCATTCAGCATAACGGTGAGACCATGCAGGTCTACTGCAGTATGGAGTCTGATGCCAGCTATATAGTGAGTGTTTTTTCCCTGACTGAAATAGTTACATAATGTTCTGTCATTTTTGGGCAGAAAATAATCAAGGGGCCGAATTTCCATTTAAGAAAGATTTACTATAAACAAGTTTTAGAAGGGAACAAGTTTTAAAGTATGCCTTAACAACGCTTTGTTTTATTTGTTTGGTTTTCTCGTTGTTGGGGGTAAATTCAGTTTTCTTCTGTGACAGAGATTTTTAAAATCCCCCCCCAACAAAAAATATATCTCTGTAATAAGTGTCAAAATGACAATAAAGTGAAAAAGCGTTGACCACTGTAGGAGGGAATC